TATCCTACTTAGCAGAAACGAGACCACATTTCTCGGGCGGAAGATGTTAGTCGCTCACGCTTCAGCAACCAACGAATTAAACTGGCTGACGAAATGTTCCCATGCATTAGCTAGTTCGTCGTCTGCCAGAAAAGTCCATTTGGCTGTCTCACCTAGTGGGGCTAATATGTCGCAGCGTACATACGTTCTCATTTCGTCGGTAATTTCTACAAGATATTCTGCATAACAAGTGTATTCAAAGCGTAGTACTGCATCGTCGCTGTGGTCCAGTGGGACGTCGACGATCACCCTCTCGACCATTAGTTCTTCTTTGGTGAATATCCGATCCAGTATCGAAGGCTTATCTTTCTCTCGGAATCGGGTGGGAGTGTTGCTGTGACCATACAGCGGGTAACTGGAGACAAACTCTTGAAGATCCGTTTTAAACTGTTCTCCAGGAGATGCTTGGGACTCCAGAGCGTGGATGTTGAAATCGCCAGTAATGAGAATGTGGCTGTAAGTTGTGTTTATCACCCTCCTTATTGCAGATGCCAGATAGAAGTCCATCTCAGGCGTGGAGGAAGCAGGGCGGTAAATGACCGCCACTAAGCAAGTGTCGTCGCCTTTTAAACGTAGGCGGCATCAAAGGGAATCTTGCACCTTGCTGACCGGATCCTCTATGAGCTCACATTGGAGGTCATTGTGGAAGTACAGAGCCACCCCTCCGACATTGCTGGCTCGGTCATGCCGAACAATGGACATGCCTGGTAGTACGACCGCCATGTCACTTATGCCAGGGCGTAACCATGTTTCTTTTATAGCGATGAGATCGCAGGCTTTCGGTCCGTGACGCTGCCACATTTCGGAAAGTGTACTCAGTAAGCCTTGAACGTTGGTGTACATACAGGAAAGCTTCTCGGATGTCAAAAGCTGTTGACTAAGGGCACATGAATGATGTGGATTAGTGCCGACCGATGAGAGGCCGGCACCTAAACATTTTTTGGTGAACGGCCGAATCTCGATAGGAATGCGATCTGTTTTGGTCTCACTTGCACCGGCGGTATGTAGTCCATCGGCAGCCTTCTCGATAGCTACGGTCTTAGCGCAAAGGTTCCTGAATCGCTGTTATGGTTATATTGCGTCGCGGATGGTGACCGTTCTGCGAGAACAGCGAGGGGCTGCGGCTCTCCATAACTGCTGTCTTCAGTCGTAGTTCCGAAGGAAGTGTGTTGAGTAGTAAGTGCCAGCTACGGATTAGATTCACGGCCATCTGTTGTGACTGCACCGTTAGTTTCAGTATCCTCGGGCCACTACCTCTGTGGTTTGATGACACGGGTAACCGTGTAATCGACTGAAGTATGACGTCGCCGGTACTGAGAGCTTCACGGATGTAACCCTATTCTTCCCGATTATGAGCGTGGGCTTCTTCCTTACTGGTTGTCTGTAGCTCGGGAACGCCATGAACGAAAATGATTCGTTGGCTACTCTTCGTCTGGTGGTCGTTTGAATTATTTTTGTCCCTCTGGCGTTTGCTCTTTAGAACATAAGAAAATACGCGTATTCCACTGTTTTCAGTCCGCGGACGGTATGCTGATAACGTATGTTCCGTTTGTGATAATCCTCCATGATTGCGCAAAGTTCGAAAGAAGGTTCTGAACTCTTCGTTTCAATAGGGAAAAGTTCATTGGACTCTTCTGGTAGCCCGCTTCGAGTAAAGTATAGATAATGTTCATAAATCTGGTTCATTTGATCCACACAGGACGCAAGGATTAATGGTACCTGTCTTCAGACTATCCGGACCGTCACTTTCGTCTCCAGTACGCAGCGTATAGCATCCCAATTGCATGTCAAAACACTGCCACGTAAAAAGCTTTAACCTTTCTTTCCGGCTTACAAATACACAAAATTCCAGTCACATGTTTTACAACTTTCTAATCAACGTGTACGTCTCAAACGTTCATGTTGAATGAGTCAAGTGCTTGGACGACCAGCTTTGCCCCAAGCAGTCACCGAGCACCATTTATTGAATTCCCGATGAGTTTCTCTGACACCAAATGTGAGGAGTGGGCCCTTAAGAAAGTACAGCTTATTCAGCAAAGGCAAGCCACTGGGTGACAAGTTTGGCCCGCAAAGCACTTCACTATACATTGTTCAGCTATCTCAATGAAAATGTCTTTGTGAAGTAAATGAGACCGCTTTATGACACATTTAAAAAAACTACAGAGGTTTTATTTCAGCGTAACCAAAGTGAACCAAACGGTGGCACAACTTAGACAAACTACCATGATTCCTGCGTCTAATTAGCCAAACTCGTAGGCTCACATTTCATTGCTTACCTGAGCTGCCCCATTCCGATCCAGCTGCTTACACTGATTCTAAGTCTCATTATAGCTGGGGCTACTCAGTAGACCAATCAACTCTGGTATGCAATATCAAGTGTAGATTCCGATACTAAAGATTTAAATAAACGTGGCGGGTCAGTTTCTAAATATGGATCTAACTACTCCTCGGTGCTAGCTATTTTGGATTTTGTATGTTGATCCTCGTAAGGAGTGGACTTTATAAACACTGTTGACACTTTTGCTACAGTGGTAAAGACAGCGAAGCAAAAGGGATAGTTTGTAGTGGCCTAGAGATTTCCTCCGCTTGTCGACAGATTGTTGGATAAAAGATTTTAGTTATAGTTTCATTATGGGCCTAGAGAAGGAAGCGACTCAAAGGTCAGTATGTTGCTTCCGTTTGCTCGAGTCAACACACGAGCGTGCGTTTTCCGGTAGGGATTGTGAACGGGTACTAATGACCATCCACGGTCTCCAAAAGCACTCATATCTTCCCTAACTTGTTCTTATACTGGTGTTATGTTTATAACCGTAGAGTCTGAGAGCGCTTTTAATAAACTTTCCTCTAGCTTATTTTTGGGGTTATACTTATCAGCCGTCAGCCGATTGTTCACGTACTGGAGACGTAGCGCACCAGAGTCCGAGCTATTCACCATTCTGTACTGTCATAGGTCTGCGCGCGAAGTGTTCTTTCATTTTATTCGATCGTCCTTTAGCTGTATGTCAATGATATCCCTTAATTTTAGTTGATTTGAGCGAAACGATAGATTTTCATCCTTTCCACCCATCCATCAGTGGGACCGTCGACACAGCACTGACCGCTGGTGTTAAAGTTATACTCCTGGAACTCAGGAAATCTCCATTCTACTTCCCACTGCCCCCTGTTAAAGGCTCGACCGTAATTCATAGTCAATTTCAGGGGTCAAAGTCAAACGCAAATGTTAATAGTTGATGGCATATTGCATATAAATTTGCCAAAGCTTGCCATGTCCCCAGGATGGTGAGTGAAGGATTCCAAATAAAAGCAACAACAGCTAAAAACAGCGAAAACTGAAACAGCAAAGTTGCCGAACAAAAATGTGTCTTTCTGAGTCGCTCACATATTGTTTTATACAAATGGAAATGTCATTGTGAAGACTCAGGCAGACAGCCACGATACATCCAGAAATGCAGTAGACGGCCATTTTGTCCTATTGGGACTCTTCAGTAGCGTGCATCCGCCGAATCCCACTGCATTTGAACACACGATCTTGCTGTTACGAACCAAGGACTTATGCCACTGAACCATGGGTGATAGCAGTGGACAACCATGACTAATATTTAACTGCGATAAAGTGCGGCTCAGTCTCCCCTGTCATGCGTGCTATGAATGTGCAAAGGACAGCGCTGGCCTCCAGAGCAGCGACTTCACATGCAAGCCTCCACCAATCGAGCTGGCACGTAAGCTACTAAGAAAGTCATCGTTATGGAGGTCAGCGTTGTCCTTTGCATGTTCATAGCATGCATGAAACTGGAGATTGAGCCGAGCTGTATCGCAGTTAGATATCAGTCATGATGGTCCGCTGCTGTCACCCATGGTTCAGTGGCGTAAGTCGTTGGCTGGTAAGTGTAAGGTCATGGGTTCGAATCCGGAAGGATTCGGCGAATGTGCGCTACTGACTCCTATTCGAGTCGCAAGTTATACACTCCTTCATGGACCTCAGTTTGTCATGCGTTGAACGCCATTTAGGTAAATATAGTAGGAGGTTGCATTATTATACGTTTGGTGTTGAGGTGGCGCAATTGTTGCTTGAACTACATTATATTTTATAAATATATAAATGATTTATACTCGGGCAATGCGAGGCACGCCTATGTAGGCATGATCATGTTAAAGGTACGGTGAAATTTCGGGGAAAGTATGAAAGATGGTGCAAATAAGCGATGCACATTGGAGCTGTGAATTCATACATGTATGTGGGAGTGCATGTGTGTAGCTGTTATTCGAGTTTGAGTATGTGCCACTGCAATTGTGATTTATCGCGAGGATAGTGTGAGAAGCGTTGAGGGATGTCCATGGTGGAGGTATGATTGGTTGGATAATCATAGGGCATGACTTTAGTTGGAGGCGAGTCCTATCCGCCGCATCGCAGTGTTGTTACACAGACATTAGTGGCTTCTTATAGGGAGAACGCTTGCCAGGCGTTTTCAGGATATATTCCATATCCCTGGCACCTCAGCTTGTACGCAAGCTCAAGAGATCAGGGCTCAACTTCTATCCGCTGCTCAATCAATCTAGCTTAATGGGATCGGTCGAACTGCAAGGTGTCTGGAGTTTAACGTTTTTGGGACTCCGAGAACAAGGAAACGTTTTTACATGCGCGCCGTTCCTTATTGACTGTACTGGTATAAATATCCGAGATTTCAATCTTAACATAAAATAATTCTTAGTGAATGAAGTTAAATATTTGTTAAATTTTTATCTAAGCTGTCACAAGCCCCTTTGAGGGAACTAAGAGTATAATTTAGTCACCAGTAATAGATTGTTTGGCAGTCTATTCATGTACGTAGCTGCGTTTAGAATTAGTCGTACTACTCTAGGCAGCATTGTACATATAACCCAATGCCCAGCCCATGTTTACATGTGAGACTGCGTGTGCGCGTTACTGTGACTGCACTGATTCGATAGTGCATGCTACTTACCTGTTAACGAGGACATGATTTGATGAACGACACACCTTCAAGTTCGTCAACTGATTTTCTGTACGCTGACGCCATCGCTCTATGGCCATGAGGCAAATCTTTTCCGTTTTCTCCAACTCGCGCACTCTTTGTTTGTAACGTGTCAAAATTCTGCGGTTTTGTAGTTCAAACTCATAGAAGTCAGTTTTCTTTGGCAGTTTATTCATTGCAAAGTGCTGTGTTACAGCTTTTTACCTGAAACATAAACACGCGTCGTGATGGTTCGGTGGTTGGTGGACTGTAACACACTGGCTTCTTCCTTGTGTATTTTTTACGCTTTGTCCACTGTTTCATTAGCTGTCATGCAGCTACCGCAGCTGGACAACCATTGATCATCAAGGATGTGTGCTCCACTGATGATTAATTAAATTTGCATACAGACACGCCGCAATCATTTCGCAAATACAAATCGCAGTACTGGGAGGGTCGAAACTACGCTACCAAGTATGCACAACGATGAACTTAAGTCATGCGCATATCGTAGTTTGACACACTCTATCTGTGCGCATAAACATCAGTGGCGGATCCCTGGAAACCAAAGGTTCAACGTGCAACCTGAAGATGATGATGTGCTGATGTAAACTGAGGGTGTCGGTCATATGTAACTCGGATACCAAATCGGATTATGGCGCATTAGAGAAAAACCAAGTCTCAGCAATAAATAATTGAAAGATTGTGGTTGGGATATCACTTTCGGCTTATGTACCTAGTGAACGCGTTGGTTGCAATATAGCATTCATAATGCGTCATTTTATAACGACGGCTTGTTCGCCTTCAAGAGATGTCACTACTCTTCATCGAAGTGGGTTTCATTACGGGCCCTCACGTATCTGTCAGAATCTCCAAACCTATGTGCTGTAAGCATGAAGAGAACGTATTGTCACCTTAGGTGTGCATACGTATTATGGATGGCGCGAGACTAGGAACTTGTCAGTTATTCGGAAAGCCATTAGTGTACACAACAGAAACATACAAAAACAGGATTACGAAATGCGGACAGTAAACCTTCAAACTTGGACAGCTGTAAAAAACGTTAAGATTTACCAACCATTACATATCACTATTGCGGTACTGTAGTACGTACAACTGCTTTTGGCATCGGGAAAGGTACACTAACCTGGAAAAAGTGGATTCAGGTAGATATAGCACTCTTTGACTTGATGGTGATATACACTTTTAGCAGATACGTTTCATTAGTACATCCAGACATGCTGACTGCTTTGTGGCCAATCAATGTGTGAGCCCTTCAACTAGCTCCAAAGGAGTAAAAGTGCACAGAGGTTTAAAAAGTGCAGCTCCAAACAATTCACTGATTAAAAGCGAGTTCTTGACAGTCGATTGAAAAACCGCGAACTGATCAATCTTTTAATGCGCAGAACTACCAAGCGAATCCGAGGCACAATCACACTCATGGCATCAGATGCCTGCAACATAATAGACCCTGCTCAAACTAGGGAACTGTTTAATCAATATTTCATCGCATTCAACGTGGATACTGAAGTCATAAGCTTGATCATGCCACCAGTTACAGTCGCTCAGTTAGACTATCAAAGTTGAGCTCCACGATATACACAAAATTATCAGGCGCACAAAATTATCCTATTTCAACGACCCAGAGAATATTCCTTCGGCCGTTGTGTAATTCGGTGGGGATGACCTCCGCCTGCTATTGTTGAGTAGGTTCATAATGTCCACAAAATCTGGCACCGTGCTAGCTAAGGGGAACGAGGCCATAGTAGCGCCGCGAAATAGATCAGCCTGCCTGTTTTAGTCTAAAAACGGCCGCCCAATAAGTCATACTTCTAAGCTAAAAAACCACAAGGCTATATAGCAAAGCTAAAACTGACGAATACCTACTGTCAACAAAGCTAATAACTGTCAATACGGCTTTTTAAATAATCGGTCCTGCATAAGGTGTCACCTGGCATTTCTAAACCACCTAACTGACGCACAGTCATGATTTTTCCGCAACTCTATTTTAACTCGACACACACACACAAGGCTTTTGATCAGTTGCCTCATGGAGAACTAAACATCTAAATTGATGTCCTGTGGGATTAGTGAACCCCTACTTTCCTCGTTCAGGTTATACCTCACAAATCGAACGCAGGTAGTGCAAGTTCAGGAAGAATACCCTGAATCTACACCTAGCATCAGAGATATAATACAAGGCAGTGTCCTTGGGCAGCTAGTGTCCCTAATCGATCGTAATGATGACTCCGAGGTAGTAACATTTGGCAAACCATAACCCTTTGCCGATAATAACAAAATTGCAAACACTTTCCGTTCGGATACTTCCAATGATGTTGTTAGCATGATCCAACCCGACCTCCATGCGGTTCAAAGCTGAGGTTCAAAGTGGAAAATATCTCACTCAAAATGTTGTGAAACGTCCTACAAGTGCGATTTGATTTATAGAAACCTGACTCATGACGGCAAACCAAGTAACCTCTGTTACCATGAGAGCAAGACAGAGCATCGGATTAGTAGTTAGGGGTTTTTCTCCAAGAGTCAGTACCTCGTTCTTATATCTCACTTGATTGATCCACGTTGGAACATTTTTAATGGTGCACAGTAACTCAAAAAAGCGGGAATGCATCGCAATAAAACAAGTGCAAAGGGCATTAACAAAACTCGTTCTAGATACTTATTCAAACCTGGTGTATTCTGAAAGATGCAATAAGGCAAAGCTTGATCAGCTCTAGCAATGTCGCATGAATTACAACCTTATCAACATCCTGGGCAAAACTATGGCTATTGGCAGTCGGTTGGGCCCGGTATTAGCCGCTTTTTTCACGCTGACGCTTGAAAGGAAACGGACTGGGGAGATTTCTCAGCTGCCGTGTAACAAACGATATGCAGATGATATCCTTGTTTTCGGTTCCCCGAGGATGCAAATCGAACGATTGGTAGACCGCCTTAATAGTGTTTACGCCAACCTGAAGGTGACTGGAATTCGAATCGTATGGGCGTCTTCTGTATCTCAACTTTCTCATGGGTCTTAGGGTAATGGGTTGCTTAAGTGATCTGTATACCGGAAGCCAAGGATGTCCGGCCACTACATACACTCTACTAGCTTCCCATCAATGGCACACAAGGGCGTGCTGGTAAAATCATTACTCACTCAGGCCAGACGTATCTGCTCCAACGGCTGCATGTCTGAAGAGTTTGATCTGGTCGCTAAAACGCTTATGGAGAATGGCTACCCAAAACGAATTATAGACAAACCTGGCCAGGTTAAACCGTCTAAAGAAGTGGTGTTGACAGTCCCAAAGAAAAAGATATACATCGAGCTACCAATCAAGGGTAACACCACAGCAAGAAGGACAACTAAACGCATGGTCTCGGCCGTTCAGCATACGTACTGGGCTGCCGAGGAGGTGTTTATCAACAGAACCACAAGTTGCTGTTACCTTCATTAAAGGAAGATGAACCCATCAACGTCAAAGCACATTGTGTTTACTGATTCGTGTGTGACTGTGGAGTCAGTTATATCCGCAGAACCGAACGAGCTTTGGATTCCAGATTGAAAGAACACTTACCAAACTGGGTTTAGAGAAAAGCTACTCATTCCACCTCCGAGGATACGCGATCTCGTAAGCCGCCGGCATCCTCCATAGGCAAGCATACCTTAGAGACTCGTCACCGGATTAATCCCTTATCGGCGGTCCGGATTTCGTTGCGGCATACAAATTCACGCCTTTTGCGATTTGCAGAGGCCTTCGCGATAAGCCGGATTAGATCCGCCCAAAAGTAATTAGTTGTCAACATACGGTTGCCGTGGTCCTAATGCCAAAAACAATGACCGCAAACATAAATTTGATTAGCGTGACTGTGCCCTATAAGAGTTACAAAAGGATTTCCGCTGATGCCAAGCGTTGCTCGCGGATCTCAGTAGCGTAGTGTTCGGGGCCTCGGCCGTAAACTACTAAGCTCTGAGTTCCACCCCAGCTCAGGCTATTTCCACCTGACGAATCCAAACCAGGACGAAACCACGGTAGTGTTGCGCCAGTGGTGGGAAGAGCAACACCCAAATATTTCCATTCAGGATACGGTTCTCGAGATCGGAATGACCGAGGTTTACCTCAAGGTGAACCGAAGTCTCAATAGAGGTTGCGAGCCGAAACCTTACCACATAGCGTGCTCCCTAAATTCAGCTTTGTAAGGATTTCCCTGTTATTTTATTGGTACTGCTGTGATAATACGAAATGCTAGCATCTGCTAATATTTGTCTTCTAATTTCGTTGTTCAAACTACTGAAGGGAACTAGCTGTTTTAAAAATATATGTTTCCAACTTAGCATGATATTAATACATTCATGCTTTTGCAACAGACGAAATAAGGAGAACTCAGTGGTAGAATGCAACTCCAGGACTAACAGGTCCGTGAAAATTTTCCTTAATAGATACGCCAGCTTATGGAACAAGATACCAGCCGGAGTATGTGGCTACACTCTTGAGCACGAATGTCGCAAAAATATCAATAGGTTATTGACGGTACAGCACGTGAGCAAGCTAATCGACTGTTCTACAACAAATACCAAGGGTACAAGCAGGGTCCAGGTTCCGTAGGACTTAGAACTTGGTTCGTCACCACAATCTTTTATGGGATTTGGTTGCTTGATAATAATGCAAGCAAGGTTTGATTGAAGGTCAGCTAACATCCATTCATTATAATCAACCGTGTTGTGTGCCATTGTTGTTCCTCCAGACGTCACTGACTGGTCGAATTTTAAATCTCCCTGATCCATCTGTGATCGACGCTTTGTACGAATATGCACTTTCTCGATCATGTCGATACGGGCATTTCTCGCATCCTCCAGAATGAAGGTTTATTTATTTATGACTTTTGCTAGAATACTAGGCACACACTACCTGAAAGCTAATTGTAAGAGTGAAGCCACTGAGGAATCAATGCATATTTCATACGGTTGCGAGCCCACTTGAGCTCAAACAAATTAACGCAAGCAAGATGCGCATCCGGGATTGGAATACGAATATCTGATTTCGCGAGGATGAGGATCGGTGTCACATGTGTACATTTGAGAGAAAGGCATACAAGTATAAATGCGAAAGTGTCTGAACAAGGCTTTTATTCTGAAACAGACAGTACTAAATAAACGGGGTAGTTACAAATATTTACAAGGGAGTATTATAGATATCTCTTACTGGACGGCTTTGGGGAATCGCTTACGCGAGAGCTACTGGGCTGTACTTCGTAAGCGCACGATCGAGACGATCAGCCTTGTGTTTCGTGAATGAAAGGACACACCGTCGGTTTGGTTCTTGAGCGTCACTAAGGTGAGAGCAAAATGCAGTAAGCTGTAAGGGACTTCCAAGGGCTGACATGATCAACAAACAGGGAGATAATTCCAGCCTAAAAACAAATGCAAGCGTTTTTCCAACCGCAGCTGGTTGTCTCTTCCTTTTCTGCTGTGAATGTACTTCAGCGGATGATGACATAAATGGTCAAGGACCATTGAGAATAGAATAGTGGTGTAAGCATCTATTGTGATGGAAGTCTACACTCTGCCTGCGTTTTCGCCTGGTCCTGTTGTTTGCTGATTATACGTTTTGTCCTTGAAGGACCGACTTCTAACATGGTGTCAGAGAAGGAGAAGAACACTAGTACCACCCAGACGATGACTGGAGCTGCACCGGCTATTCAAATGCCTTCCCCGCTGAACATGGATGAACGCAGTTTTGCAAGCAACTGGCGTTTGTGGAAGAGCAAATGGATGGATTTCTGCACTTTATCGCGTCTGGACAAACAACCGATGGTGTACCGCTTGGCCATGTTTCGACACGCAGCAGGAGATGATGCGCGCCGCGTGCTAGAGACATTGTGTTACGACAAGAGCGAAGATGCCAACAACCTGGAGACAGTGTTTGAGAAGTTCAGTGGATACTGCGAAGGCCAAACAAACGAGACATTTCAACGCAACCTCTTCTTTTCGCGGAACAAGCGGCCAGGTGAATCCCTTGACACGTACGTCACTGAGCTCAAGATTTTGGCCCGATCCTGCAGTTTCTGTAAATGCATGGCGGACAGTCTCATACGGGACCGCATTGTTCTTGGGATCAATGACGAAGGTTTGACGAAGCGACTATTAAGAAAGCGCAACCTATCTCTGCAGCAATGTATCGACATCTGTAACAGTGAGTCCTCCACTGCCTATCAGTTCCAGCAGATGACAATCGCAGGTGA